CATTAGTGCATGACACCGTATAAATGAGGGCTAAAACATGTAAACATTCAAAATGAAATGGGGTAAGCCATACAAACGAGGGCTAAAACATGTAAACATTCAAAATGAAATGGGGCAAGCCGTATAAATGCATGGCGAAACATACCGTATAAATATGTCGTACGAACGTTCAAAATAAAATGCGTCCTTAGATTAATCAATTGGCATGGAGTGTACTAATATAATTAGAAAGTACAATAACACTTGAAATAGAAAGTGTACTATTATTCAATTAAACAATAATTACAAAAATTTTGCATTATAATATCTAATTTTATCCGGCGTCTCCTTTGTCGTCACTCTTCTTGACTTCGAAGGCGGAAAAGGGGAAGTGATCACATCGGTACAGCAGAAACGCCGAATCAACGCCCGCTGCTCGGAAAGCCTCTGCGGCTTAAAGTGCCTTGATCCAACCGTGCCTAAAGCCTCGATTCTCACATCGGCAGACCTCCTCTGCAAGTTTCTCTTTGGTTTTGTCGATCCCAACCTTCCGGCTGCATGGAAGCCTTGTTCATAACCCATGGTCCTCGCATTTTGTACGGCAAACATGCTTGCCGTATCTCGGTCGACAATGGCGTGACTTAAAAGCCATTGGGTCACTCTCTCCTCCACGACCGAGTTAGATTGACTCGCCGCATGCGGCTCGATAGCTTGAGCTTTCCTAATCTCCCTAAGCTCACGCTCGGCCTTCTCCGCGCAAGCCTCCAAACTGCGGATTCGTTCGTCCTTCTTCTCTATTTCCCATCACACGGCACGCACACGCATGCCGACTTCATAAGTGGTATACAGCCCCTTCACCGCCCCATGGATGCCTTCGCGAAATACTTCAAAATCTTGTCATCCAACCATCGACAGCTGGACTTCCGGTGGAAAGATCTGTCGAGCGAACTCAACTGCTACCCCTGGATCGTTAACGACAGAATCCGCCTCCGTCATCAGTTTATTCCCCACAAAAATCGCAAAACTCAGCGGTTGTGGCGTTGCGTCGGGTTCGCTTCTCGGTCGCGGGGAGCTTCTTCGTTGTTGTTTTTCTTTTCGAGGTGATCTACTTCGACGACTTGGGGGCTGACGTTTTTCCCGTTCCTTGAACGTCCTTCCTCCCGTACGTGGAGGCTCACTGCTGCGATTCATTGTAGTGTCTAGCTCAGTCAATGTTCGTCCTTCTCCTCTGCTGTTAAAGAATAGTCTGTTTGACATTCGATGAACTAGTATGCAGCGCCACCGAGGCAATGTCATTAATTCTAAACGCCAAAAGCCAGATGCCGATCGGATCATTCCATGAACTAGTCCTATTCGGCTTCTGAAGCTCATGCACTGGCTGGGGCAAGGGCAGATTTATTAATCTGATCGGCCAAGTATCTAAACCCAATGCCGATCGATTTATGCCGCAGTCGTTCCATGAACTAGTCCTATTCGGCATTTGAAGCTCGTGCACTGGCTGAGGCAAGGGCAGATTTATTAATTTGATCGGCCAAGTACCTAAACCGAATGCCGATCGATTTATGCCGTAGCCACTCGATTTATTAATTATGATACTTGGTATTGAAAACAAAATGTAGCCATTTTACAATTGAAAGCAATACCATTCATTAATAACAAAATTTAGCACAAACAATAGCAAGGTAAAAAAGAAAATTTTCATTAGTAAATTGGGCACAAATTGTAGCCATTTTACATACGAAAATTACTAAACAAAAAACTACAAGTTCGCATGAAAATGCCTAGCAAAAAACTATGACTGTAGCAATATATGAAAATTACCAAACGAAAAGCTGTAAAAATACATTCGAAATCCTAAAGCAAAAACAAGTGCCGCCCAAATTAGTCCTCGGAGTTAGGCTCCAGCAGCTCAACATCCACTTGCTCATATGGAATCGGCATAGCCAATGTCACATCAGCAGCAGTAAGGGCTTTGAGCCAGCCGTGTTTGAATCCCCGATTTTCAAATTTGGGAACTTCATCCACATTCTCGACGAAAGTAGCACTTTTCCTGGCCTCGAATGCCTTGGAAGCCTCCGAGTCGGCTGCTTCCTTCTCCTTCTTTATTTCTTCCAACTCAGCCTCCAGTTTGGAGATATCCCCTCCTGGCCCAATTTGAGCACGTCTTCGCTTGCGTCCACCCTCTTCTCGGCGGCTGATCTCAGTTGATCCGCATTACGCGCCCTCTCCATCTCGGCCTCGGCCCGTACGCCTTCCATCTTCACCCTTAAAGCTTCGAACTCGGCCTTGCTCCTTTGGCCCTCAATTTCTATTTGTAAATGGCCAAGCTATTCGACGACGTCATGATAGTGACGGCCCATCTCGGCTATCCTTCCGACGATTTGCAAAACAGAAAATTAAAACCAAAACAGTATTTACATAAAGTGAAGACAAAGTCAAGATATATACCAAAAGAGCCGATTGAGCGGCCAATGCTATTGTAACCAGATCCGGTTCTGCCCAAAAAGCCGCCTTGTCAGCCAGCAATGAGATGGACGTTGTCATGCTGAATGCGACCGTTGGATCTTTAATTACCGAAGTATCAGAGGAGATCGGCGTGTTTTTTATCCTCGGTTGAATGACAAAAGACACGATCACATCCGATCCGTCTAAACGAGGTCGTTTGTCAGCACGATTTTCTTCTGAGCAAGCCTTAACCTCGGCAAAACGTTTCTCTGCCCTTTACTCAGCCTCTTGATCGGCCTGCACAACCACAGCGGACTCGGCATTTTGGTTTTTTGTCATTTTCTCCTCAATGACAGGCAAAGAAGGCTGAGATTCGGCAACATGTAGGGAGGGCAAAGATTCGGCGGCAGGCGGCACATCAGATAGAATGGCCTCTGCTCTTCGCCACGAGGCCATTCTTTCCGCGTTCGCCTTCTTGGCAAGTTTTGTGAGGCTTAACCCAGCCATGTCTTCAGGGTATGCGCTAGAAAAGTCCTCTAAATCGTTAAAAATGTCGTCAAATGGAAGGTCCCCTCGACCCGAAGTGGACGGAGGGTCGGCTGAATTAAGGCCGGCTTCCTCAAAGGCCAACTTCAATGCCTCGTCTACTTCCGGTTCGGACTAATCTGACTCGGCGACCTCAGCTACCTTCGGACTGATCTGACTCGGCGACCTCAGCTACCTCCACCAGCTCCAAATCGGACCCCTCGAAACCAACTTGCCGCAAGTTTTTGAAGTCGATCAAAATGAGAGCGGTAAGAGACTCTTCACCCTTCGGAATTGGGATGTTTTATGCCACCGAGAAGGTCGTATATGTCGGCTTGTAGCAAAGCAGAACGTGGGCTGCCCTCCCCTGTTTCTGAAGACTCGGACGGCTGAAATTTCTGCATAAGCAAAACCATTAGGTCATGACTTCAAAAACCATTAGGTCTGCGATTTTGATTTCTGAAAGAACAGCGTCGTCGGTTGAGGTCATGACTTTCTTCAAATCGTTTCCTGCATAAGCAAAACCATTAGGTCTCAAAAGGAAAGGTTTGCAAATATAACAAAAGAAAAATAAACACAAGAAGCTATACGGCCACCTGGTTCACCCCTCTGCCTAGAAATAGGATCGAGGCGATCCTCGCCTTCGCCGAATTCCCAGTTGTCTTGGACGATAACCATAACATCATCGACTCGCTTCCCAGAGCTGGAAAGCATAGTCACTAGTTGATGGTCGGTGTCCTTGGCCCTAAGGAAATAACGTCCGTTCTTTTCTTCGTTTTTGTTTATCCTTTTTGCATTATATAGCTCTCCAGGTTAATCCTAAGGCGGCGGTTTAGCTCTATAATCAGCATTATGATTCTAAAAAAGTTGACATTAGATTGGGAAGGGATTAGACCCCAATGGCAAAGCACAGCCCTAAGGAATGGGTGAAGGGGGAAACGGACTCCACCTTCTACGATTGATAGGAGAGGGAAGACGATCGTGGTTTCATCAGCCCTCTCCATATCGAGGGTGCCGTCTGTCACAAGTGACAGACGGATGTCATCAGGAATGGAAAAATGGCGTCAGAAGCCAAAAATTCGATCCAATGAGAGGAGATCTTTCAAATGTTTTGCCATTCTCTTTAGTTTATAGGAATATTCTAGACCAAAAACAAATCAGGAAAAAGGATTTAGAGCAGAGAGGGAGAAAACTTACAAGAGACGAAGAGGGTAGTGAAGGAAAGGAAGTTGTAGAGATAATTCGGAAGGTATTCCAGCGATGAGCGTCTAAAAGTGTGTATGTAGACGTCAAATTTTAAATCATAATAAATAGAAGTGTATGAAGGGGTAGGAAGTTGAAATGATAACCGAGAAGCGTGTGCTCAGACATCTACATTAGAATAAGGTCAGCTGCCGAGTTTCGGCTCTGACTTTTCGAGTGCAAAACCAAACACTCCAGCCAACTATCGTTAGTGGAGTGCTTGGGGGCAATTGTGGGGACCGAATATTGGGAGTCGTAAAGAGGCCGAATAGTTGAACTTGGAGAGTTGAGATATATATAGCATTCGGCTCCGTCTCGCATGTTCAAATCCCTCCCTATTCGGTCAAATGGCCGGTTGGGCAAGGGGCCGAGTGAAAAGCAGTTCGCTACAAAATAAGCCGAATGGCGAACTGAAGGTGGGCCCAACCCCGAGGCCCAAGAAAGAAAAGATATAAATAGAGAAATATCAGCCAGAAAGAGGTATGTGAGAACCATTACACTTAACTTAAAATACAAGTAACCTTGAGTGTAGGGACGAACTTGCTCGTCGGAGTGCTAATTCTGGCACCCACGACCGGAGTATTTATTCCCTTTCAGGTGACATCCAGAGGATCACGAGCGTCCCCTAAGATCATATCCCATTAATGTGTTAGATTTTATTATCTAAAAAAAACATGTATTGAATATTGAATTTAAAACTTTAACGAAACTAACATAATAAACATAATACTAGCATTAATATATAATTTCTATAATGGTTTGTTATGAAAAACTTAAATAATAATTTTATTTTTATTAAAATTCTCTACCATCTTGAGCCGCTTTAACTCCACCAGGGCTGATACCACCATGCTCAGCACGTTCGCCACATGACCAACCCCGACTCGTTGTAGAGGTGTCAGCGTTCGAGCGGTGAGCTTCTTCCAGAGGGGATATAACAAGCGGTCAATGACGGCAATGGAGATGGAAGTGGAGACAAGTATGAAGACGGTCATGGACCCAGCTGGGATTTTGAAATGGGGCCCAACGTGGCGGTCGACGCTGAGGGCTTGGAGGGTAGTTAGGCTGGATTGGATGGCCAATGGGGTGGTTAAGAATATGCCTGTTGACCATAGTGGGAAGATTCTGATTAGCCTTTTGAGATCTTCTACTTGTTGGATTGTGCATAAGTTCCATAGTTTTGCTATTAAGCCATCTTCTCGGATGTCTCCTTCGGTTTTTAAGGCTGCACGGTTTAAGAACCTGTATATTAAGAGAACAAAATGATGTTAATAAGTTGTCAAAATCTCAATCCGAATTTTATGATCATACTACAGTTTACAATTCATTAAAGCAAAATCGATCTAAATCATACAAAAAATTTCTTGTATGTAGGACTTTTGGTCCTAATAGTTGAATATTATAAAATTGTGAAATCCTGATCAGATGCTATCGTATTCAATTCAATTTTAAGTACTATTTTGTATTGTATGCATTATTTTATCAAAAAACTATGTTTTGTTCTCTCCCTCTCTCTTTGCATAGTAGATTTATTTGTTCAATTCTTTATGTTTTTCTTTCCAATATTATTGTTGCAATTGCACACTAAAATATAATACTATTTTTCAACCATTTTTCTGTTTCTTTTCTTCGTTTTTGTTTATCCTTTTTGCATTATATAGCTCTCCCTGTATTTTATCTTATTTATAGCATTTTCCAAATGAAAATGAACAATGGATTGGTCAACATTAACAAGAAAATCCAATATTCATTAAGTAATATATTCCATTCCACATGATGTAATTTGAAAAATGTAATTAAATCAGCCAGTCAAAACCTTACTTGAAAGACTCCGAAGGTGTTGCAGCCACCATCTTCGTGCCCCCATCAACCGGATTCTGGTAATAATCTTCACTTCTGCCCGAACCCAATACATTCCTTTTCCGGATAGCAGCAACAACAACCTGACCCAAACCCATGAACGGGCTGCCCTGGGGCTTAACCCGTCTGTAGAACCGTGCCCCAAAAACAAAAATGGCTAACCCAAGAATGTTAACCACAGCACAGATCCCAAACCCCCAACCCCAGCCCACATTGTCTTCAACATAGACAATGGCTGTGCCACTTACTGCTGAAGAGGAGTACAAAATGAAGATAAACCAGTTCCAAAAAATGGATTGTTGCTTGGGATTGTCAAACTGGTCAGCACCCATTGTTCCTATGGTGAATCTTGTGCCTCCCACACCTACGATGGCTAGGGCTAGGGCTGTGTATAGGACTGCATATTGGGCCTTTGTTGGGTTGGTGCATAAGGTTGATCCATTGTTGTCACATGGTGGTGGCCTCAAGGAGTCTAGTGTTGAGGTTAGCATTAGAAGGACTATGCCCTGCAAAGTTATGACTTGGTCAATTTAGAAGTAACCAAGAAGGATTTGAACAAGGATTAATTAATTTCAATGTACTTCAAATTACAAGGATAATGTTTTTTTGGGGATCAGGTCGAGTGCCACTATGGTAGTCTTCGCCACTTCAGAGTGAGGAAGGGAAATGATAGTTTTTGTGGTGGGTTACTTATGTATATTATATATATAGTTAATATAATATTAAGATTCAAATTATTTTAATATTATTTAATGATTAATAATTTTTATATATATATATATATAATATTTTCTTTTATAGATTTATATACAATTCGGGTCGTAAGTTGTCCAGCTAATTGTCTCATTATGTCATTGCATAAACCATCTACAATTTGATCAAGTTTTTAAATTTCTGCCCCAAGTTCATATCAAATTTAAAAATATTGTTTAAGTCCTCAAAAAAATTTGAGTTGGACTCAATTTGCTCGTATTTTGCCCGGCATGTCTGAATTGTATATCAGGGGTTTTAATGAGAAAAAAGATGAAAAAATAATAAATTTCTCTTTTGTTTTTTTGTGAAAATTAGGAATTAAAAACTAAAAAAATGGTAACCTGAAAACGACCAAAATCATGTGGTGCATCTTTTGTTATTTTTGGAAAACTAATTAGGTGGCAGTGGGTCCCGTCATTAATGATGTGATGTTTTGATCTTGGAGTTGTATTTTTTTTTTTTTTTTACTTTTTTAATGCATTAGTGCTATTAGTGGTGATGTTTTTAATGGGATGAATCATTATTATTATTTTTGTAAGGACAAAAGTTAAAAGTGCTCAAACCACTTGCCTAAAAAAGCAACACACTAATCAAAGGCGGAGAAGGATTCATGATATTTTTTTTTTATGATACTTAATATTATTCTTTAATATATGGTCAATAGGTTATATTAATAAGGACCTTATTAATAAAGGAAAAAATTAGGGATCATGAAAATTTTTTCATGAAAATGATTATGAAAAATTTATGATCATTAGATTACCTTGATTAGTGTATGGTGTTTTATTCTAAGTGTAATCCAAGGGTCACAAAGCTTTCATGATTATTTTCATGAAAGGTCTTTCATGATACCTAACATTGCTGATTAATAAATGAGATAAAGACGTATAGCCAAACTGATAAGTCTATAGAAATCAATAAATATGTTGGTGATGCATTAATTCAGATGATGATTAATTAAAATTATTCAATGGAGGAAGAGGGGTTGTATTAGCATTGTTGTATAGAACTTCCAAATTATAAAGTGAAATTATGTCATCATTTCATTTCTTCGTTGCCAATTATAATTTTTTTTCTTTTTTCTTCCCTTAATCTAAATGAATGTCATCAAGTTTTTTTTTTTTTTTTTTTTTTTTAACTTTTTTTCTTTTACCGAAACACAGAGGGAAAGGACAGATCAATAATTGTAGCAACAATACGGATCACGAAAGAAATTTCTTGAAAATTATCTTGAAACTTGAACGGTTGATCGATTTTTAAGTTCTTCGGTCATTTGGTCCCAATTTCAAAAAAAAAAATTCGCTACACATTTTCGTTACTCGTAACATTTTTGTAATTATAGGGTTGCAATAAGACTATATATACATATAAAAGAAAGCTGAGTATTACCAGGAAGGAAATGACAGAAGAAATGCAGATGACAGAGAAAGAGCCCAAGTAGGAGTCGGCGATGATAGCTCCAATGACCGGAAACATGGTAGTGCAGCCATAGACAATGTTAAAATTGAAGTATTATTGATTGATTACAAGATTGTTGTGTATTTTGTATATTACAAGGATGTATTATATAGGAGAGGTTTTGGGAGAGGAGGTGAGGAGTGAGTGGTGGAGGTAGGTTTGGTGGAGTGTAGTAGGTGATAGGAGTGAGTGGTGGAGGTAGGTTTGGTGGAGTGTGTAGTAGTAATTTACTAGTGCAGCCATAGACAACGTTGCCTATTTGGGCAGAATCGATGCTTTTCACGTTGAATTCCCCTATCATATACACTATCAGGTTGCTCATCCATCCTCCTGCCGCCACCGTCAATCCCGCCGTCGATGCTTCACATTTTCAACATATATATTGATATGAATGGAAGTGAAATATACACTTTTCACTTCTATAATTTAACTCAAATTTTACTTTAATTCCTGTTGTTTCATTTCAAAGAATCTGATTTTACATGTATATTTCAAGAGATTGACGAGGGTCTCAAAATATGCTCTCTCTCTCTCTAAAAAAAACTCTAGCCACTCTCTCCTTCTCTTTGATATCTATTTTAACTCAAATTTTACTTTAATTAGCTTTCTTCTCCCATTTGTTTCTACTCTAACAATTTCATTATTTTTGTTTCATGTTCCTCACTATATACGGAAACTTTTAGATCTAAACTCAAATCTTATTCATAATTAAGATCCGGCACTATTAAATGCATTTTTATAAGCAATTATCTCATATTCATAATATTTTATTTTATAATATAGGGGTGAGAATTATAGGATCATAACTACCGACTGCAACGATAAAGGAAAGGTGTTTGGTGGTGATTGTTAGTGTTAATGTACACCTCCTACACCACTAAAACCTACCACTACCACTACACACCTCCACTACTCCTCACCCACTCCACCTACCACCTCCACTTTACCTACTACCACCACTCACTCTACACCTACTACTCCCAAAACCCCTCTATATATAGGAATTGTAATATACAGATAAATATCAATCAACAACATTCAATATCAATAAATAATACAATTCTCTATTTCTTTTTATACATTGTATTTTAACAGTTAGTTTGTTTTTTTTTTTGTTGCAATAATGTCTCTTTGTATAAAGGTTTCCTCCTTTCATGGAGGCTTTCTTCGTTTTATTCCTTTTGGGATCTGTCTATATATTCTAATATATTTTATTAAATAAAGTTAGATATGCAATATATTAGGCATCGTGCTTTTTAAAAAAAAAAAAAAAAAAAAGTACACTTTTAATTTAACCGAATGAACAAATTAAAACTGAAGCAAGAAGGTAGATCAAACTATGAAGGTTAAAAGTGCATGGATGAAAGAGAGAGACCTGCAATGAAGGGAAAGGCCCTCCAGCTGCCACGCTTATGGCCGGAAGATGGTAGCTTCGATTCTTCATCGGCAGCGGAGAGTGAACCGTCCATGGTGGTGCAAACCAAACTGTTTTATTGTTAGCTCAAGTTTATGCCTCCGAGTGTGAGTCTCTATGCATGTGTAGAGACGTACATCAAAAACCTTGACTTAATATGCCGTCAATATATAGCATAGACTATAATTTATAGTTTTATATTTATCATATTTTTATATATATGTTTATTATTTTATTTGTCTATATAATATAGAAAATAATTTGCAAAGAGAAAAAATACCATTGAGAATAATGTGTGAATAGCATTTGTGAAATGAAAGAATCACAAGAAATCATCTTATTATATATTAAAATTATCTATAAAAATTATGTTGTATATTATTAGGGAAAGGTTATGTGTAGGTCTTAATAGGTAAATTTATTGTCTAATAGATCCTATAATAATAAATGACGTTTTTTATTAAACACTATTAAAAAATATTACTAATTGTTAATTTTCAACAACAGTTTGAAATTTTATCATAAAAAATGTCACTAATTATAAGTTTTAGCGACAATTTAAAAAAAAATTTCACCAAAAAAGGTCATTAATTTTGAACTTTCAATGACAGTTTGAAAAAATTGTCTCAAAAAAATATCACTAATTGTAAGTTTTAATTATAATTTATAAAAATCGTGACAAAAAAATCACTAATTATCAAATTTTTTAGCGACGTGTAAAAAAATCGTTATAAAAAATTACTTTTAGTGACCATTTTACCATGACTTATTTTTAATATACTTGATAAAAATTAAGTTCAACTATTAGAACATATTAATAATTTACCCATATTATTATTCATATAATATTAGTATAATGAATCAAATCATTCTTGTATTTCTGATGCAGTGGTAACACATGGATGTAAGCATAACCCGATATAAAAAAAAAAATCACGTGTGACATTACTCAATTACCATATGAATTCAAAACAATAGCATTTCGGAATATATCCATTTAGGGCTAGTTTGACGTCCATCAAAAAATATAAAAAGTTAAAAAGTTGTTACTGTTTACAAAAAAATATATAAATAAATAAATTTATAAAAAAAAAGTACAAGTTGAAAAGTGTATTGAAATGATGTGCTGTCTGCCGTGCTGCTAGTACACATTAGGCAGCTGATGCACTTCTCATGATACACGGGACAATGTTGTTCTGCTCGTGAGGGCCCATCACAGGTCTCATTTTGATAATCTGAACCGTCAATGTGTAGAACTCGTCGAGTACTATATGCCTGTAAAAAAATCACGTTAATCAGATATCGATAACTATATGATCAAATCAGTTTTGTATAACAAAAGTAGACGGTACACAAAGTAACGATTGATAAAAAACTAATCCAATTAGATAGCTATTGATATCCGATCAACGTAATTTTTTACAAGCATATAGTACTCGACAAGTTGTACACATTGAACGATTTCGATTATCAAAAAGGGACACATGGTGGACCCCCACAGGGAGAACAACACCGTCCAATCCAAACAGCACTCCTATACATCTTGCTGCCAACTGTATGCATGACGTTACCATCACTGTCAGTAAGTAATTTTATATTTAGGGGTAATATGATAATTTTGCTATTTTATACAATATTTTAATACGTATTTTTTATTAAAAAATTAAAAAATTATTCCAAACAATCATATTTTTTTCCTCTACTTTTTAGTCCAAAAAGTAAAAAAAGTACAATTATTTAATTCATCCTAAACAACCCCTTAGTAAAGATATGTGCACCAAAAAAAAAAGTAAAAAAATTATTATATAATCTGAATTTAATTCATAGATTATTGTGGGATTCACATTTTAAATTAATCTAAACCATACAATAATAATTTTTAAAATATTTCTATAAATTTTATGTAATTAAACTAATTCTTGTTCATCATATTATTTGTTTTACAGGCTACATATAAGCATTACTTTATTATTGGACAAGCACACTGAGAGAATCACTCATCTTATGTGTCAACTACTTCTCTACTAGACAAAATTGGAACACGGTAATGAATCATTGAAAGGCAAAATTTTAAACCAAAAAAAAAATTCCACCTAACTTTTATGTCAACACCTGATTTGAAAACCTCGTAATGAAAAGAAATAAATTAAATTAAAATATATATTCTTATTGTTGTTAAAATTGACCCTTTAATTTTTTAATTAATAATGTATATAAGTGGTCATACAATTCTGTGCACCCAAAAATGAAGTACGATAGTGGGTGATTTGGGATTGTGAGATTCATTACGAGTCTCGTTTTGATTATTCTAATCATTTATTTTGTTAGACACTTTATATATTTTGTCTACACAAAAAATTAGGTTGATCCGAAAACAGTAACTTATTCAATTTATTCCCTTTTTAACTAAAAAAATTTACGATTAATTTTTTAAAATACAAATTTTTTTTGTTTTGTTTTGTTAATAACGTGATAAATTAAACAAGTTACAATTATTAAATCAACTTAATTTTTTTGTGTAGATGAAATAAGTGTCCAACAAAATAAACAGTTCGAATTATCGAAACAGAACCCATGGTAAGCTCCACAGGCCCAAACAACACTCTTTGGACACTGGAGGAGATCATCCTCCTAATTAGCAAGTAAAAGTCAAAAATACTATTTTTTAATTTTCAGATAATTAATTTTTTTGGTTTATTTTAATTATTTCCACCTAATAACTATAACTTCAATGCAACAACAAAACAGTCCAAAAAAAAACACTCTCATAATAAAAAAAAAATAATTATAAACAGCTCATATAAGTTATACCAAACAACTCTAATACTTTTCCGTTCAAAACTAAGAATTGCATCAGTAAAATGTGATACTTCACATAACGTTAATATATAGGACGCTTCTCAGAAAATATTTTCATTTTATAATTGTCATTATGCAGTGATAAAATATATAATGTTAAATAAGATTTTTTATTTTTTATTTTTTTTTATAACGTTAAAAAAATTTTTTTTTTTTTTTTTTTTTTGATTTGAAACATGACATAGGAATACTTAATTACATGTTAATGGACCCATTAACTAAACATATCCTCATTTATTAAATATTCTCATTGATGTATCATCCGATGAAAATCAATCATGCTACCATATATATTTTTTAATTTTTTCAAAATAATAAAAATATAAAACTAATTAAATTATAGACATTTTCTATTCATATGAATTGTTCTTATTATATTATTCAAATTATTCACATTTTAAAATTTGCATGCCATACCGTTGTTTATAAATTTTAAAATTTTGTATAATTTTTTTCTATAATTTAATCTTTTCAAAAAATGTTTTACACTCCTAATAAAATTTTTACAATTTTATTCACAATGATGTAAAATGATAGATATTAATTTTTAATTTGTGTGCAAGATTCTATTTTCTTACCATATCATTGAGAGTATATTTGGAGGTTTCAAAAATGAATTTCCAACATTACTCAAATAAAAATTCAAAAAAAATAAATGTGGAAGACGATGGTGACAATACAAGTAACGATGGTCCATGCGCAAATGTTTCCCATCAAGCAAAGCAACAAAGGATATTATTAGTGAGTAGCCTACCAGGCCACCATATAATACTAAATATGTGGCCAAGCTGGTTTTGTCTACTTCCTCGTAGATTTTAAAATGCAAAAGATTGTTTCTGTCTAAATTTGGATTGGAAGATTGGGTGTTTGGCGTTGGATTAATTTTTAATTGGGACCACATATTTAAATGTGTGTTATTATTTATATAAGAAGTCTAAAACTTATGTGATCTAATTGAGTTATAAGTAGGATTAAGGGTATGGTTGTCATGGAATTAATGTATAGATACCATTGTATAATTTCTATTTCTATGAGGGGCAGAAATAGAAATTGTGATAAATAGTTAGTTTTCCAACAGCAAAAAAGAAAAAAAAATTGACAGATTGAAATCAACTAAACAAAGCGGTAATGGTCCCCAATCCTGCCAAGACATGCAAAAAGGAAAAGTTCTCTCAAATCCTCTCAAGGAGAAATTCAAAGGCAGAAACGTAAGCAAAGAATTGGAAGGCTATCCTATAATCACGCTTCGGTTCAACCATCACAATGGATTCGGGTATGCATTTCTCTTTGATTTCTTAATAATACACAAGATATGAGATTCAATATTTCAGTTTTTTGAGATTTAATTCTCACATTTGGTAGAGATTATTTTAGGATAAAAGTTAATAATTAAAAAGTTGAGGTTAAAAGTTGATAATTAGAAATTAAATTTTTTAAACTTATTAAATTATTTATGTCTAATAAATTATAAGCAGAAACTTCACCAAATTATCTTATAGAAACTTTCAAATTAAAATAAGTTATAAGCTGTTTTTATAATCCCCACCAAACACTCCAACTATATATCTGAGTCTGTGCAGTTTATTATGAATTCTATTTTAGAATTTGATTTTTTAAAATAGTTTTTTTAATTTTTTTAACTCTTTTATGCAAGCTCACTCCACTCCAAGTCTAGAGCCAATTTTAAGTGTAATTTTTAATATTATTTGTAAAATTTAAGTTTTTAAGCTCTACTTTAAAAAAAATGCTTTTCAAATTGGTTTTTTAATCTTTAGTAATCTCTTTCAGATTTCTTCAATCTGTTCAATTTTTTGGACTTTATCAAGTCAAAAACCCCTGACAATTAAAAAAAAAAATGAAAAAAAAAACCCTAAAAAAATTGTCTACTAAAAGCGAAAAAGAAAAACTTAAAAGATATTTCATCAATCAAACAAGCTTTTTTGTCTACCCTAAACCTTAAACCTAAAAGACCCTTTAAAAAAATTTTAAAAATGAAGGAAACCTAAAAAATTGTCTACTAATAGCCAAAAAAAGGGTGCTTAAAAATCTGTTCCATCAATTCAATAAGCTTTTTCAATTTTAGTGGATTTTAAAAATAAAAATATATTTATATATATTCATTAAAGACACAAAAGAAACAAATTAAAAAAATTACTTTCAAATAAATGCAAAAATTTCTAAAGTCTTCATTGAAAACAAGTGGAAAAGAAAGATAGAAAGAAAAATAAATAAATAATAAGTAAATGCACTTGATGAGCACAGATCCATCATTTTGAGTATACTCCAAGCGAAGTACATTACAACAATGTAGAGATTGAAGACTTGTAATGCACGATGGTCCCCAATGTGGGTACAAAGCTTTCATCATCCCAAATTGGGGCTCTGCTAAAAGAAATTAAATTTGAGAGCATGTGAATAAAATATAAAATCTTATTGATCCAAGATTATGGGCTCATGTTGAAAAAAACATATTCAGCCTATTTAAACCGGTGAATTTCATTATTTTGAATCAACTAAAACTTGTGTTTTATTCACACATTGAACAAAATTGAACTCCTATTATATATCTTGACCTCTCTCGTCTCCATGCGTAGCATTTTTATTCGAATGTGGCTTTTTTCCAATCCTTTTAAGGACGATTTAATCCAAGTTTATGAGCCCATTATAGATTTCATTTTAATAAGGGTAAATTATCAACAAGTTCTTTTTGAAAATGGTGTGGCCTATTTAGTCCCATAATCTTTTATTTATACCCAAAAGTTTTGTAGCGTTTTTCTTCTTCTCTGCTTGCGTTTTTCTCTATTCCTAATTTTCACAACCAACAATCACGTCTTTCTTCTTCTCTTTCTTTTTTTGATATATAACCACGAACAATCGACGGCTACGATCAATTGGGATTCACCGATAACCACCGACTACTGACTCATTACTGCACCTTCACAGACGGCGAATGAGGTGAATTTTCAGCAAAGAAAATGAGTAGATCTACTCAAATTTGATGTAGATCTACATTAAATCCAGTTAGATCTAAACTAAAAATAGTTGCCAGAGTACAATCATCTCTCTATATCTATCGCTCTCCTTCGATCTCTTAGGTTGCGTTTGGTAGAGTTTTATAAATATGATTTGAGAGTATGAGTTGTATTTTGAGTTTGTGAGTTGTGGAATTATGATTTGAGTGTAGAAAATTTATTTGATTATGGTTTTTTAAGAGAGTTTTGAATTAAGTGTGAAATTGAGTATTGAAAGTTTTATTTAACATGTGAAGTAAGAAAATTTGTTTGGTTATGAGTTTTGGAAAGAGTTTTCAAAACTTAATTCAAATTGTTATAACTCATAACAAAACACACTACTTTCACACTATTGAAAATTCTAATCAACACTCAGAACCAAACTCTTTTTAAAATTCAATTAAAAAAAAGAAATAATTTTAATTGAAAATTTATTATTAACAGAAAATAACATTAATCAATTTTTTAATTGAAAATACTACAAAGGAAATAATTTCTTTTTCAAAATAAATATTCAAAAAATTTAAATCATAAAAATTTAAATAATCTAAAAAATTTAATAAGTAAAAAATTAAAGTAAATATTCATAAAAATTTAAATAATTTAAATAATTTAAAATGTTAATATTTTAAATTAAAAAACAACTCTATACTCAAATCGTAACCAAACACATAAAACAAAACTCAATTAAGAAATTATTTTTAAAACTCATAACCAAACACATACCTCGAAACTCCATACTACTTTCACAACTCTACACTCAAATCGTAACCAACTACATAACAAAAAAAATTAAAATATTTAAAAATATTTTTATAAAATAGAGTTTGAATTTATTTTTATAAAATATTTTAAAAATTAAAAAATTAAAATCGTAATATTTTGAAATTAAAATATTTAAAAATATTCAAAAAATTAAAAAATTAAAAAAATCGTAACATATTTAAATATTAAAATATTTAAAATCTTAACAAAATTAAAATATTTTTAAAATATTTAAATATTTAAAATTTTGATTTGAATTGAGTTTTGAAAAGAGTTTTGAATTATGTGTTTGATTATGAGTTTTGAAAAGTAATGATTATGTTTTGAATTGAGTTTTGAGAAATGGGTGTAGAATTATGATGTGAAAGCTCAAAACAAACAATACACTCAAATCAATGGGTGAAACTATAATTTGAAACCCTAACCAAACAGAGCCTTAATTTTTCTACATTTTCTCTGTTACACACTCTATTTTCCTATTTTTAATGGAGAAAATTTTCAAATTCTAAACAAGTTATTTTCGAGTTTTAGTTACAGGTAGTAAAAATTGTAAAATTTTACAATTTTTTTTTTATGCTGAAATAAATCATACTTTAAAATTGTAAAATTTTACAGTTTCATGACATATTTTTCAGTTTGATTAATAAAGATAAATACTTAATAGATTTTTGCTATGAAACTTTCAAAACTTACTTTTCACTTTGGTTAATATTAGAGGCAAAATCAACTGTAATAAAAAACCATCCAAACTTATGGAATATAAACAATCCACATAACAAAAATAATCCTAAATGAATTTCAATAAGAATAAATATAAATATGCACAAACTTGACATAACACTCTAAACTAAAGGAATGCCCTAGAGGTCCATGCAATTTGGTCCCCGCTACGCCATGAGTCTACTCTAAGTCCTTCTAACACCTAGAAGTGATAAAAACTAAGTCAGCTGATAGCTCAGTGAGTAGCAACATGGATAGTAAATACAGTTTTGAAAACAGGGTTCAATTCCAAATTAAGATATACATCACAGAAACTAGATTGGCATACAGTTTGGTAAATACAACCTGTTTCAAAAAGAAGGTTCCACAATTCAACACTTAAAATACGCATGTCTCGCAAGAACATGATAAACGACATTTTCCACTTAAAACAGATTATAACATGAACACCAATAATTTTCTGGGTACCAATAAAAACAAATAATCTGCCACACATTTCTCAGGCTATAAGCCCCGTTGGATCCAATACCGAACTAAGAGTCATCCTCAGGGTGGCACCTGGGCCTTTTCTCAAAGACGATCCGATTGAAGGTCACCTAGTTATTTTTAAAGGTCTGTTCCTTACAATCGTTGAGCACTAGAGTCATCACAGCCCAACCCGGGTCTGTTCCCTAGTGGCCAGAGTCACCACACACAGTGGAATAATTTCCCTGGACTAAATACACACATGGTCCCAATAATCAATACACATCAGTTTCGCAAAACATGGTAGTTCATCATTATAAACATGAGACCAAAACAAATAGTTTACAGTATGCCAAGTTCACACATGTTTCAGAAACAATTTGATTCAATTGATAATATAATAATTTATCAAAACAATAAACACTACCACAAATTTATCGCCCCGCTAACTGCGGAGGTAGAGCTAGTCCATATGCTACTTCGCCCACTTTTTCCAACACCTCAAAAGGCCCAATGTATCGTGGTGCCAGTTTTCCTTTTTTTCCAAAACGTACGACTCCACGCCTTGGTTGCACCTTTAGGAACACGTGGCTGCCTACTTCAAACATCAACGACCTTCTCCTCCTATCTGCATAATTCTTCTGACGGTCTTGAGCAGTCTTTAACCGTTGTCGGATCAATTTGACCTTGTCAGTAGTTTCTAGAACAAGTTCAGGTCCGATCAGATTTGCATCACCCACTTCCGTCCAACAAATCAGCGATCTACAAGGTCGTCCATATAATGCTTCAAAAGGCGCCATACCGATGATAGCTTGAAAGCTGTTGTTATAGGCGAATTCAATTAAAGGTAGGTGACGTTCCCAACTTCCTTGAAAATCCATTGCGCAAGCTCTCAACGTATCTTCGAGTGTCTGGATGGTGCGTTCAAATTGTCCATCTGTTTGCGGATGAAAGTCGGTGCTAAAACATAACTCAGTACCAAGAGCTTCCTGCAGGCTTCCCCAAAATCAAGAGGTGAACCGTGGATCATGATCTGAATCACGTAACAATGTTATTGATACTCAATTCCTTTCTATTAACCAACTGCACAGTGTTAATAGTTTGTATGCAATTCTTATGCAGAATCATGAGTATTTCATAGGATGGTACATTCACGATAATCATTAGCCATAGCCAGAATATAGCGTAGGTTCAGAGTCATACTAATGTTCACAAAAATCTTTCAATGTCCACACTGTTTCCCAATCAACATAATATTAACATAACTACGTCTGAAGCGCAAA